AAACAGAGTTGATCTGAATGCACGTCTGTGGGGTAAATATTAAATAAAGTTAAATATATTTTGAAAAATAATAATAATAAATAAATTAAGCAGTTAAAAGTCAACCTATAATCATCCATTTTAGAGGCTTGCTGTTGTTTAGCATCGGTGCGTATCAGCTGAACAAGTGGTTAAAGAGCTGAAAACTTGGATCAGCTGAAAGACGAGTCGTCTCTCAGGTCCTTTTAGCTCCTGTTCCTCTGAGACAGAAACACCTGGTCAGGCCCGACGTCCTCCTGCTCTTTAAGCTCACAGTGTTTCATTCATCGCTCAGAGTTTGAGCTGAATCAGACGAGCAGAAACACGGGAGGAAGCTGGAGAGGGCCAGAAGAAAGGCTCGGTGGGAAACCAGAGGGAGAGAAGGGGCAGGGGAGGAGGAGAAAGTGAAACTATGTTGTCATGGAAACTGGCACAGATCTGAAGAGCAAAACAAGAATGTAAATTGGTTTACCTTCATCTGACAGAGCTGCAGAAAAATAAAATAAATGAACGAGGAGGGAGAGGAATTTACCCCACAACTATTTAACATTAAACAAGTTAAAGAGACTAGAAACATGTGATTATCCTGAGAAAACGCAGAACGACAGCTGAAATGAGCCGAAGAAGCTGAAACTGAATTAACATTAAAACAAGCTGGAGAGAGGCTAAATTAGCAAAATGGCAGCGCAAGCTAAAATCGACAAAACTGTACCTAAACGCTGAAACCAGCTAAACAATAACTGAAACATATTAGCAAAGCAAAAATCTGTTGCAAAACTCGCTAAAAGCTAAAATTACCACAATAGTAGCTGAAACCTGAAATAATGAAGTGTTTAAACCCAAAATTAGCTAAAACAGCACATAAGCTAAAACTAAGATGAAGAAAACTGAGTAGCAGTTAGTTAAATAGTAGCTAAAAGCTAAAATTATTAGCTAAAAATCTGAAACTAAAAAAACAGTAGCTAAAACTTGATATTAGCAAAATAGTAACTGAAACATAAGGTTAGCTGAACAGCAACTAAAATTAATATTTTAGCAAAGCAGGAGCTAAAAGCTATGTGCTGTAAAACTGGCTAAACACCTTTTTTATTTTTGTTTTTTAAACTGGCTAAAATTACCAAAACAATGCTTAAGTCCAAAATTACAAAAATATTAAACCTAAATATAGCTAGTGAGTAAGTGCTACATAGTAGCTAAAGGACAACACCAGCAAAACAGTAGCTAAAAGCCGAAGTTAAATAGTTACTATAGCATATAGTTAGAAAAGCTGAAGCTAAAAGCTACGACTTGTGAAGCTACTAGAAAACTAAAATTACTCCAAAAGAATCTAAAAGCTAAAATGATCAAAACCGTGCTGAAACCCCAAATAAGCTAAATACGAGCTAAAACCCACTCAAATGTAGCACATGAGCTAACGCTAAGATTAATAAAATAGGGAGTAAATGCTACAATTAGTTAAATAGTAGCTAAAGGTCAAAATGAGCTGAACAATAGCTAAAAATTAAAAACCAGCAAAACAGTAGCTAAAGCCTAGCAAAATGTTAACTAAAACTTAAAATGATCATATTATCTAAAACTAATATTATAGAGTGGCTAAAATCTGTAGCTAAAGTTGACACAACGGTGGTGATAAAGGGTTTAAACAGCTGAAGGCCTGCAGAAGTGTGAAGCAAGAAGCTAAAAGTTTATTAAAAGCCTCGGTGACGTCTGAGTGTTGCAGTCAGATTATAATCCAGCAGCTGCGTCTCTTCAGACAGCCGCTACTTAAAAATGAATAATTTAAGAAGGCTTCGGCTCGGGAGGCTCAGAGGTCAGTCTGAGTGGGCGAATTACTAAAACAGCTAAACAAATTGTGCTTAAACTACTTCTGCTGCTGCGTGGCGAACATTATTCTACTTTAACGGGTCGAAGGGTTTTATGAAGCCCGACAGGCCCGGAGCGCTGACATCAGAGAAAACCTGCCTCTTTTTAAACACTTGTTTCAATATTTAGAGTTTAATCTGAACCAAAACTGAAATAAAGACAGAAAAAATTAACTATTTCAATAAAAACTGTTAATTCTGCAACACTAAAACTGTTGTATAAATCTAATAATTATTGTTCATCAGGCAACAATTAACCAGCTGATTCAGTAACAGACTAGCTTTAGCTACTAACAAACAAGATTTTAGCTCACTATCTATAAAATTTACTTTTATGTGTAGCAAAACAGTAGCTAAAAGCTAATTGTGGCAAAACAGTTCCCAAATCCTAAAACGAACATAACAGCTGAAAGCTGTCTAACAAAATAGTAGCTAAAAGCTAAATGTTAAACCTAAAATGAACATAATAGCTAAAAGCTAAGACCAACAAAATAGTAGCTAAAAGCTAACTATAGCAAAACAGCTCCCCAAACCAAAAATAAACACATCTAAAAACTAAGACTAACAAAACAGTAGCTAAAAGCTAATTGTAGCAAAACAGTTCCCAAATCCTAAAACGAACATAACAGCTAAAAGCTAAGACCAACAAAATAGTAGCTAAAAGCTAACTATAGCAAAACAGCTCCCCAAACCGAAAATAAACACAACAACTAAAAGCTAAGACTAACAAAATAGTAGCTAAAAGCTAACTATAGCAAAACAGCTCCCCAAACCGAAAATAAACACAACAACTAAAAGCTAAGACTAGCAAAACAGTAGCTAAAAGCTAATTGTGGCAAAACAGTTCCCAAATCCTAA